CTGTCCATCACAGTCTGTTATGAGAGCAAGAGGGGGCTGGACGCTGGGCAGATATACTCAATGAGGATGGTTTGCTGGGAGCTGGGAGCAACCTACCCTGTGCCTTCCCCTTCAATACAGCTGTTCCACTTCTTAGAGCTGCTGGCTGAACCTAAGCAGGTAAGTGAACAAGCGTGCAAAAAATGTGTGTGCAAATATGTGCATGTGCGAGTGTGTATGTGAGATGTTTATTGCAATGTTGCTTATAGTAGAGAAAAACCAGAAAGTCAGTCCAAAGAGAATTGTTTAATGAGTTATGAAATATTCTTAAGAGGTTTGCACAATCTTTCCATGTGACCATGTGTGCCATAAAATAATCCTTCGCCAGGAATCATTTGTAAATTCTAATAAAGAGGAACATGCTCAGGTAATTCATCTGTAATGAATCTGAACTTTTATTAAAGTTTTATTTTCATGTAAAAGGGAATTGTATAAAAATGGGATTTATTAAGAGAGGAATAATAATTAAATAAATCACTCACTTCTAAATACTATTGCAACCAACAAGAAATGATGCAGGTCTGTATTTGTTCATTTATACTGTCTACAGTATATTACTGAGTGGAGAAAAAGGTTCCAAGAATTTTCTCATTTTGAAAAAATTGCTTATCTATCTTTTTGAATATGAACAAGTAAAGAGATTTTAGATAATTTCCCCAATATTAGCAGTGTTAATTTCTGAATTGAAAGTGTTATGGAAAATTTTAATACCCTTTTAATTTTTTACCACAAGTGTGTATGTTTGTAATCAGAAAAAGTCAAGTTATTTATTATTTTCAGAGAAAACTCATTATAGTCTGAGCTCATGTAGGATTCCTCAGTCCTAGACCTGTTCTTAGAATCTGTCTATTCAAGGACGAGATTGCACCAGCGACTGCTAGGGAATTGCCCTGGGTTCCTCTTTCCTGAAGTCCCCTCTCCTGTCCTGGCCTGGTCATCTGGGAGGCCTGCACTTCAGCAGATTCTGATGCTCATGGTGTAGGGGGAGGTGGACCACCTCTGGGCTCTGCCCATCCCGTCTGTAGGCCTAGAACAGTAAAGCTTTCCTGCCCAGTGTCTCTCTCCCGTCCCTCCTCCTCTCTCCATAGAAGAGGGAGGCGGTCTCCAGTAGCAAAGCCGCCAGGTGCCATTGTGTCTCTGCCTCTGGACACAGGTGCACCCAGGCCGGCCTGGGGCCTTGCACGGTGGTCTGGAAGTTGAGAAACCCTTTTCAGTCTTGCCATTAAATTGCTTTGTGAAAAGGAGCGCGTTCTGCTTTAATTTCCTGTCACTGACACGGAGTTGTTTTTTAGCTGTCCAAAAGACAAAAGGACCTTTGCTGCCGCTCTGTCAAGCATCCATCATGCCGCAATTTAAAATTCACGAAAGCTTTTTGGAGCAGTTGAGCTCACCTTTAGGTTGCTGTAATTTTAAGCTTTTGCCATTCTTCAGCCTGTGTTTCCAACAAGGTTATTATTAAAGGAAAAGTGCTAATTAAGTTTGAAATAAAAAGCTGGAAGTTTCAAGGTGTTTATCTTGAGTCACGGCACAAGGCAAAATTGCCCTAATGTGGTCCCGCATCTTAGCACTCAGACCACACTCTTTGTTGAATTTCTGCTCAACTCCAAAGAGTGGAGGGTCTCAGGATGTTTGGATAATCAGAGATTCAGCAAAGACCATCCCTGACACCTGTGGCGTGCATTCTCCATGCTGTGGCCAGGGTTGGTTGACTAAGTTACTGAGACGAGTTCTTAGCAAGTTGCTCTCCTGCTTAGGAACCTTGGACGACCCTCCATTGCCCTTGCAATGCAGCCCAAGCCCCTCGCTGTGGCGTTGCAATACCTTCCCACTTAACCCCAAGCTGCCACGTCCCTGTTGAGCACACGGAGGCTGATTTTCACCTTTACACAGATGACCCTCCCTGGGAGACCACCAGGCCTCCCCTGGTCTGCAACCCCCAAAGGCCCCTCAAGTTCCTCTGAAAGGCTTGGCCTCACAGACTCAGATTCAATAGCTCCTCTTAACTCCATTCTATGCCCTTGGGGGAACCAAGGCTGAGCACCTTGGCTGATCACCGGGTGGGGGGGGGTCTCCTGGGCATTTTGAGAAAAATACAATTTCTAATCCCACCCCCCCACCCCGTCAGACCAACAGCATTAGAACCTTTCAGAGAGGTGCCCAGGAATCTATGGATTTAAAATAGTTTTCCAGGTGATTTGGACTGATAAGCAGGCTTGGGTAGCACAGCCATGCGTTTTCCATGGGCTCAGGCTGTTGATGGCCAGGAGGAAGCAGAGAGGGGGTTGGGGGAGGTCGAGCGCTCAGGTGCAGAGGGCTCTCTGTGTGCCAGGCTCTGCTCTAGGAAGTGTTACACCTGCTCATTGAATCTCAACTACCTCAGCAACAGATGTGGGCATGCTCACTGGTACAGATGAGAAAACCAGGGCTCAGTGCGTGGGGCACCTGGGCCGGGAGACACTGGTACGTAGTGGAGCTGTGTTTTTTTTTACTAGGGATTGGACCTGGAGGGTACTTTACCACTGAGCCACATCCCCAGCCGTTTTTTAAATCTTTTATTTTGAGACAGGGTCTTGCCAAGTTGCTTAGGGCCTGGCTAAGTTCCCGAGGTTGGCTTTGAACTTGCCATCCTCCTGAGCTGCTGGGATTACAGATGCATACCACTGTGCTGTCTATGGGCTCATGTTGTTGTTGTTGTTGTTGTTGTCGTTGTCGTTGTTGTTCTTCTTCTTTTTTTAAACTTAACCTTTGTTAGATAAGGGTTAGTTAAAATAAAATTTTAAGTGCACTGTGCCCCACTCCTCTCCATCCAACCAACCTGCATGACCAAGGTGTTCTCTTTGTTCGTGTCCTCTCTCCCCCCGTGGAGACCACAGAAATAGACTGAAATGTCCAAAACTGGGAGCCAAAATAAATCTTTTCTCTGTTGAAGTTGATTTATTTTGTTCTGTGATGGCTGACTCACACACATGATATGATCCTATTAGTGAATTTCCATATAATTAAATGTACAAATGTGTTTGCATATGTGAAAACTGGGAAAAATTAACAGTGTAAATCTAGTCAGTTCATTCCTCTACCTAAAACATGCCAATGGCTCTTTGTTATCCTGTGGATAAGTCCGGAGTCTTTAGCCTGGTTCAGAGGTCCTTGTTCCCTTCTCCACTCTCCTACAGATAAGCACCTGCCTCATTCTCTGTGTCACACGAACACATTTCCCTGATCTTCATCTCTTCAGGGGCCCGTGGGTCTCTGCCCCTCGGTTCTGCCTCCTGCTGCTCCCCTTTTCCAAGACGCCTCCTGCTCTGTTTTCCTGGATGATTCTCACTCAGACTTACTTGCCTGTGTTCAAGGTGTACAGCATGAGGTTTGGATGTGCATCTACGTAGTGAAGGGATTATTACTACAGTCTAAGGCTCAGCTTAAGAACCAGATTCTTGGAAGGTTTCCCTGACCTTCAGAGGTGGGGGGGGTCATCTTGGAATTTATTCCTGTGGTGGGGGTGGTGGGAATCTCTCTGCAAGCCTTCTTGCTCTCTGGGGCTCTCTCAGCCATGGTGAGCTCTTTAGTTTTCTGGAGGAAGCACGTCCTAACAGCACATGTCATCTGGGAGGCCTGACATGTCTTTCCAGCACTGTGGAAACTGTCCCCTCACCACACCTTCTAGCTCTCTGGCCACCTGTGTTCCTTGGAGGCCCGGGCTTCCCACTCTATCCCTCTGCTTCTGTCTTGCAGTAGGAATTCCGGGGCAGAGGAGCTCTCTTCCACACCACTATAGACGGGCACCTGCCTGGAGGCTACTGGGGGGTGGCTTCCACTTCCAGAACGTGCTGACGCTGACGCTTGCTGTACCAAGAGAACTGGCCTAGGGGGTGTTCAAGGCCAGGGCAGGTAACCTCAGGGCCAGTGGTGAGGGCATGGATCCACTGTTCATTTAGCACTGTTCCTCCCTCCCTCCCTCCCTTCCTTCCTTCCTTCCCTCCCTCCTTCCTTCCTTCCCTCCCTCCTTCCTTCCTTCCCTCCCTCCTTCCTTCCTTCCTTCCTCCTTCCTTCCACTGGAGAATTAACTCAGTCTGTTTAACCACTGAGTTACATCCCTAGCCCCAGCCTCTTTTTATTTTCAGAAAGTCTTTGTAAGTTGCTGTGGCTGGCCTTGAACTTGTGGATCCTCCTGCCTCAGCCTCCTTAGCTGCCAGAGTTACAGGCACCACTGCACCTGGCTTCCTATATGTTCTTTAAAAAAAAATTTTTTTTTTATTTGTAGATGGACACAATACCTTTATTTTATTTGTTTATTTTTATGTGGTGAGGGGGATCAAACCCAGTGCCTCACGCATACTAGGCAAGTGCTCTACTACTGAGCCACAGCCCCGTCCCTACATGTTTCTGATAAAACATGTTTATGAAAAACAAAGCCCAAATTCACATGAAGAGGAAAAATTAGTTTCATTTTCAAACCATACTGTTAAATAACGATAGCTTTATTTCTGCAGGCGGTTGCATCTTTGTATATATAAATCAGGGGGGAAACAGCAAAGCTCTTTGTTGTTGTTGTTGTTTATTTTTTGACTTTCCCATTCCAGGAGGAATGGGGAAGCCAGGTTTCCACCGAGATCTTTACTTTCTGGAAGTTCAGAGAAAACATTCAGATTTCAAAAGGAGAAGAGAACGGGGAACTAGCTTATGCTACGTGGATCTTTGAAACCTGGGGGTGAGGTGTGTGCTAATTCCAAGAGCGTTTTAAATAACCTGAGCTCATTATGCTATTTGCCCCCTGTGCTCTGTGCAGAGAGAGGACTGAGCTGGATAATAACTCCCATTGGTGCGGGAGTAGGCTTCCCAGGCAATTCCCTTCATAGATGGGCAAGCAAACAGTAAGGCAACATGACTTGGGGGTTAGCTTTTTCTCCCAGAAAAAGGCCCCTGGTGGCTGGCTGTCTTTGAAGCGGGCGAGGCGGACGCCCTCAGTGCACAGGGCCAGCCTGCTTTTCCTTCTCGTCAGGACGGTCCAGCATCCTCAGCCTCTGCTCCAGCCTCTGCTTCCATTCTTCCCGGAGCCTGGGAGGGGACACAGCACACGAGGTCATCAGCACATTTGTCTCTAAAGCTCCTGTCCCTGCAGAGGGTTTCCTTTTATAGGAATAGGAAAATAGGTAGTTTCCCCCCCAAATCTAATTCTTCCCAAATTGATATTAGACTTAACACAATTCCTATCACAGTCCAAGTAGGGCATTTCTGTAGCACTTGACAAGCTGGTTGCAAATTGTCCGGAAAGCCGTGTGCCTGTAGTCCCAGCTTCTCGGAGGCTGAGGCTGGAGGATCACTCTAACCTAGGAACTGGAGGCCAGCCTGGGCCATATAGCAAGACCCCATCTTAAAAGAAAGCAAACAAAACATCAACAAAAACCCCAATAATAATTTCTATTGTCTTAATACTTACTATGAGTTAATACAACTTAAGTCTTAATACTTAATTTATATTGTCTCAAAATCACTACCTGGCTAACACAAAGCTGGAATCATTATAGTGTGGCCTTGGCAAAGGAACAGGCTGGGGGGCTGGCACACAATAGAGTCCAGAAATAGACACTGATGTGGCTGATTGGTTTGTGGTAAGGGGCAGAGACAACTGAATGGAGCAAGAATAGAATTAAAAAAAAATGGGTGCTGCAACATTATTATACATCTATGTTTAAAAAAATGGACTTTGAATCTGCTGGGGTGGGAATACATTTCCTGTACCCCCAAAAGCATGCATTAAAATCCTAACCACCATGGTGATGGTGTTAAACTTTGCTTAATTATCAGCCTGGAAGAAAATGGGAAGAATCTGTAGGTGTAGGGGATTAGGTAATATATACTTAATAAAGGAAAAGCCAAATGCAGAAAAAAGAACAAAGAAAAATTAGATTCACCTTAATATTTCACTCTGACGAGTAACTCTACAATGAATGCAATACTTATGTTCTTTCCATATTCCAGTCTGTTTTCCTGAGAGAGATTCCCATGGGTGAAATATCATAACTTAGAAAGGATAAATATTATGAAGGCTCTAGGCACCAAATTGGCTCCAGGAAAACTTATTTAAGTCTCTGCTCAATTATGGGCCCAGGAAAGAATGGAAGGAATCTGGAGTCAGCCTGTTGTTTAGTGGTGCCCGTGGCTGAAGCACCTTAGCAACCAAGGACTTTGAAATGTGGACAGAAGAATGAGGGACACAGGGGAATGTTCCAGGACCTCGGCCACCATCTTCCTCCTACGTTAACTTTAAATAAAAGTCAGTGACATTACAATAGAGCTTGCCTGCTTGAAGAGGGGTGCAGAGCCTGGGACTGCTGCTCCCACAGTGGGAAGATGGCCTGAGAAACAACCTGTCGAGCTTCTAGGACCTTCTATTCAGATGTCCACCTATTAGTAATTTTTATAATTATATTTCTTCACTGTGGTTATGAACTCGTCATCCTGTATTTTAATTTCTAATCAGCTTCTCCAATCTGAAGAATATCCAGCTTTACAAACTCTAAAAGGTTCTATGAAAAAAATCCTCTTCCATCTACATTGACTTTTGTCGCCTGGGATCTTTTACCGCTGACCAACAAGGTTTGCTGCCTGGGTGTGGCATTGAACTTGATGGACTTCTTAATATAATGTGGATTCGTTATTTCACAAAAGGAGCTTTGACTTTTACTGGGTCAGGTGGTCATGAAAACTCTTCACTCGGACGTGGTGGACAACTGACGGGCGGCTATTGGAGCACTCCTGCAGACGAATGTGGATCTGCTCCAAGTCAGATGCCAAGGCCAAACTTCTTGTGGGCTGCTCCTGGCCAGTGACGGAGCCCAGCTGAGCTCTGATTGCATGTCCATTCCTGAAGGAGCAGAACTTCTTTCACAGGTGACTTTGGCTCAAGGTCTCCCCAATAGTCTGGCCCAAGTTTATGCGGCGTGCATTGCTGTCCCCCAACCCTCCATCCTTCCCTTTGTCCTGCATGGAGGTCAGGCCTGCCTCAGAGTCCGAAGACTCTTGCTACCTTCTCAGCCTTCCTCCCAGTGGTGTGCTGGAGCTGGCTTTTAATACGTAGTCTGTGAGGGCCAATTATTAATTATTAGATTTTTGAGTTGATTATTAAATACAGACATTATTAAAAATAAATTATAGAAACTTATAGTTAATTAAATTATATCAAAAGAAAAGATGATGACAGAATTCATGGCTTCCTAACTATTTATCACGTTTCCCAGTGCTCTGTGCTCTGCGGGTTATTGAGGCCTGGGGCATCTGTGTGGTAAAGGACTGTACCACAGGGTGCTATGGCCAAGTGTCACTTCTGAACTCATCTTCATGGATGGCACTGGTAACTTGACCAGTGGTAGGAACATTTGCACCACACAGCTGTCAAACACTATTAAACACAGATTTAATTTACTTTTTTGTTCATTGCAGGACAACGATTTGGCCCTCTGGCCCAACTTAGACAGTTTTTGTAAATGAAGTTTTATTGGAGGATGGCCCCGTATGTGTGTGGACCTGTTTAGTTGACACGTGGTCATCATTGCTTTCTCACTACCATGGCAGAGCTGAGTCACTACAGCACAGACCGTGAGACTTATTAAACCAAAAATATGTATTCCCTGGTACTTTTGAAAAAGTATTTGCTGACCCCTGGTCTACATTTAAGAGAGCCATGGGGGAAATTTGAATCATGCCGACTAAAGTTAGAAGAGTGGCACGTCTATAGCTATCACGTTTGGAATACAAAACAATTGAGGAAATGCTCTTTCAGAATTAAAAAAATTGATTATGAGCAATGACGTGCACTTGGCGGAACTGGATAGCCATCGGACACTTCTTTGTTGTTGGATTTTGTCAAATAATGCTTGCATTGCATGGTGGGCTATAGATACAAGAGGTTGCCAAAAAACTTCCAAGAGCATGCTGGGAGAATCAGTGGGCTATATAGAATTTCTGGTAAAGATCATACTGCATTTTCCTGTTATTTGCAAGTCGTGTGCTATAGGGCCTCGGTAACGGTGAGATTTATAGCAGACGTGTGCGTGGATTCACGTGTGCTTCTCCCCAGAGCCAGTTGCTAAGAAGGGATCAGCACACCCCCGCTTCTTCCCATTTTTCTTCCATAGGTGCTTCCCCCAATAAATCTTACGCACATCTAATCTCGCCTTGGCCTCTGCTTCTTAGAGGACCTGAATCAACACATTTGGTCTGATGCATTTCTTCTAGGACGCGGCTTAGGAATCTGGGATTCATAACACATTTATCCACTTTTTATAGCAGCCCTGCCACTATTTATTGCCAAACAGTGAAGGATTCAGGTTCCCGTCTTCCCAAATGACCTTTAAATCCTAGTTTATGAATATTTAGACTGATTGCTGCTCCTTTTTGGTCAATATCTTTCATCACTGTGTTGCTTCTGCTTAATTTTGGGTTCTCAGTAAACTGGTGAATATAAATGGAGCTTTTACTTTGCAATGGGGGCGGTCACCGTGAGGAAGATAATGCTTAAAAATTAGTGTGTAGATTGAGATACGTGAGTGGAGTGAGAAAACAGGCACTAACCCTCACGAGGGGCGTTTTTACCTTCAGCCTAGAAATGCCTCATTTTTCAAAGGGAGGCCAAATCTTATTATTATTTGCTGTTCTGGATCCTTCCGAGTTGTGCAGGAGTTGTGGCTCCTATCTAGAAACACCGATTCTCCTTGATAAGTATGGGCCTTAACTAGAAGGCATGATGATGCTTGTGAAGGTCTTCGCCATAATTGTAATGTCCTTACTAGGCACCAGTAAGGATCAACTGGGCCCATCATTGAACTTTTTCTGTCATTTACCAGGCATGAGACATCTGTGTTATTTGGGATCCTCTAAAAAGCAGATTTAGGAAAAACAAGGTGGGAGGAACAGAGTGGTTAGGAAGGGCCAGCAGCCTCCAGCGCTGGTCTGACCTCTGTGGAAGAGGGAAAGGGAGCAGAAATGGTGGGGTAGGAAGAGCCCCGTGGCACAGCCCACTTCTGAGAAAGCTCGGGCTGGGCTGACGGAGAGTCTCTGAGTAAACCCCGCCCCGACTTGTGTGGGAAGAGCACCTGCCATGCTCAGTCGCTGGCTGGGGGCTGCCGGGGGGCAGTGTGGCCTCAGCTCCCTCTGACCCATGACGGATGTGGGGAGGTGGCAGCTGGAGGATCAGCCAACTGTACCCCGCAAAGGAGCTCAGAGGGGGACCAGAACTGTGGCCGTAATATGCGAAGAAGAGAAATGAAAACAGCAATCCCTGCCCTGGAGGAATTTATAATTGTCGGATTCCTTGATCTCCTAGTTCAGATCTCATTACTCCAGTCTTCTCTCCTGTGCTTTTGTTTACTATGAAATGTCGGATGGTGATTTTGCTCCTCCTCCTGCATTCCAGGAGGGACCGGGTCTTTATAGTTGTTTTCCATGGTGGGGAGAGGGGGTTCTGAGCTTGATTCTGTGTGTTTCTATGTCACTACCCAGGTCACAGGGCAGAGCTCAGTCAATCAACACAGGCCAAAAAGCTTCCACATGCTCATCTGAGCAACTCCACGTACCAACCACATTTTCTATTCTCGTTCTGGGTGACAAATCTACCTAAAAACGTCCTCTCTGCTTATCCTTTGTAGACTAATCCTTCTTTTTTTTTTTTTTTTTTGGTAGCAGGGATTGAACCCAAGGGCCTTTGACTGCTGAGCCACATCCTCAGCCCTTTTTTATTTTTTATTTAGAGACAGCATCTCACTGAGTTGCTTGGTGCCTAGCTAAGTTGCTGAGGCTGGCTTTGAACTCATGATCCACCTGTCTCAGCCTCCTGAGCTGCTGGGATTACAGGCATGTGCCACCGTGCCTGGCTTATAGGCTAATTCTTGTGAAAAGTTTGAAATGGCGGTCTGGTTTGGCCAGCACGTGAAGAGCAGGGGGTTTTGTGGTTGGCAGTGATAAGCATCCTGATGGATGGAGCTGATCACTGGGTTGCAGAGCAGAGGGTGGGAATGGGCTCAGGACGGGCTTGATGTGTCCCCTTTTCAGTCTCACCAGGTCTGATCACTATCCCACACTGAGTTCCGCTAAATTCTGAAGACTTCCCTTCTTGCATTAAGACGTTTCACTGAATGGCTGTGCAGTTTCTCAGTGATAGCTACAGGCCAGTCATGTAGCTTTACATGTTGTCAGATTTATCATCTAAACAGATGCTTTTAAAAATAAAAGGGAATGAAAGAAAAAGTTAGATGGGAGGGATGGCTGTGTAGCCGGCCCACCCCCGGCCCACCAGGGGGTCTGAGTGACCTACTGAAGCCTGACCATTCTCCCTCTGTCCCCAGGGGGTGGTTTGCAAACAGTTCCAATTTCTCCAGGAGAATGACACATCCACGCTGTGTTGCTAGACTCGATGGAACTAAGGGTGGTGTTGGTTCCAGTTCCGGGGCCACCTCCTTCACCTTGGGACCCCACCCCCAGGGCCTCTGCCAGATACACCGATCACCAGGGGAGATGGATCTCCAGCTCTGGCTCCCACCTCTGGGTCAAGGAACCAGCAGGCATGTGCTAAGCTTTGGCACAAGATCTCGCCAGGTTAGCCGAGCATAGCGAGAGGGACACAGACATCACTGAGTTTATCTGCTTTTCATAAGGGGCTGCTGGGAAATGTGGAGGCTTTTGTTTCCACCCTTCACGTTGAACATCTCTTGATCTTACAGTGGTGGTTTTGCCTTTTGTAGATGGAAGGTAGAATTTTTAAAAAAGTGTGTGTGGGGGGGGGAGGGGGAGGGAGAGCAGGCACTGACTGTCCTGGAGTTCAGGAGGCAGAGCCCACAGGGCTGGGGAGGCGAGGCACTGGGGTGTGCCCTCCCTCGGCCAGCACACCCCAGGACACGGTGGTTCTGTTAGGACAGTGCTCAAACCGTCTGCTCAGATCAGTGGGGATTTAAACAAACATTCTGCCTTTCTGGTTTCAATTTCAAAGTATCTAGACTCTTCTGGGGCAATCTGGTAAATGTGGGATACGTGTGTGGTGTTTTGGTTTTTTTTGTTTTAGCAAAGTAGGTTTTCATTTGTTGGCTACCGGATTAAGAAGGCTTTAGGTTTTTCCCCTCTTTTAAAAACTTTTACAGTTGATAAAAGCGTAGCTCTGGAAAGTGAGCCCATGAATGGACCATAGAAAAGTCCTTTCCCCCGCTCTCATGACCCTCCTGTTCTGAGCTATGCAGAAGGGACATCCACATCTTTAAACATTCATTTGGGGAGGCGATGATTCATGTTGCATGATGGGCACATGGTGAAGATTTATTTGTTCTTTAGTCACAGAAGGAAGAGAAAACTACTCCAGACTTTGGAAGTGGGTGCTTTCCTCCGGGAGCCTGGAGAAATAACACGTTTGTTCTATGGACCACTGGCCATTGGTTGTCTTTTAAACAAATGACTTATTCTCCTAAATATACCATGGCATGGTGTCACTATGGAAACCTTGAGGAACATAGGAGTGTGCATCCTGCCATCCCTCCAACTAAAAATAACCTCTTATAGTATCTAAGCATATTTTCTTCTAATCTGTATCCTATACAAGCATATTATTTATATATATCTTGATTTCCTTAAAAAAATCAAATCATATCAGAGAATTTGCCTTTAATCCAGCACAACAGGGCTTCTGGAAAGGAAGTTACAGTACAGGGCTCAGAGAGGGGTCTGGCTCCCAGGGACTAGTGGTCCAGGACCACGGGAGAGAGATGTCCTCACTTCCCTGGGTGCACTAGCATGTGACCCTCCTAGGAAGGCCTGATTTTGCCTGACAGGCAACCAGCAACCAGGCTGGACTGGTGGGAAAGCTTGTCTCTGGGTATGGAAAGCTTAAAAACTGTTTTTAAAACTTGATGTTGATAGCCAGGTATGGAGGCACACTCCTCTAATCCTAGTGGCTTGGGAGGCTAAGGCAGGAGGATTGTGAGTTCAAAGCCAGCCTCAGTAACTTATCGAGGCCCTAAGCAACTCAGTGAGGCCCTGTCTCAAAAACCAAAAGTAAGTAAATAAATAAAAAGGGCTGGGAATGAGGCTCAGTGGTTAAGCACCCCTGGGTTCAAACCTCAGTACCCCCGCCCCTCCCCCCAAAAAGTTTAACCTGTCTGAATTGTGCATATTTTCAGCTCAGCCCACACTGGACAGATGCAGAAATCATGAACCCTACTGTCCAGCAAGACATACAACTACCATCCCACTGGTGAGTGGGCTCTTCCCACCTGGACAGAGCTGCTCCATGTCACTGCACACCTGAGAGCAGGTGGCTGGCCTTGTATTCATACACACACACACACACACACACACACACACACACACACACACGTTTCCCCACACCTGTGGAGAGGGTACCCCTGTGGCCAGGCAGACTCTTTGTCTAGAAGAACGTCCACCTGCTCATGGGGAAGGGCCACGTACCTGTCCCCCCCACACACACCTTAACATCTTAACACTCTTACCGTCCTGGATGTGGGGTCTTTTTATGAGACTGGCTTTGCACACACACATATATCTGTCAACATGCCCTGACATTTAGTGTGACCTTGGGTGCTGGGCGCTGCAACGGTGCAGTGGTGAGGAGAGCTTTTTCCCTCAGTTCATGGAGATGTGAATGACAGGACTTCATTTTGTTTGCGTTTTCAAAAGGCTTATTCACTTCTGTGAGCCAATGTCTCTCCACAGGGACATTCTGCCCTCCAAGGACCCTCTGATTCTGCTGACATGGAATGCTTCAGGGCCAGGCACCCAGGGAGCATGGTACAGAGCACAGACAGCCCTACCCAGGAAAGAATCCCCTGGTCCTAGGTGTCATAGTGCTACAATCCCAGTGGCAAACGGGACAGACACACCTGAGAAGTCCTGGTGTGGATACTGGCAAGAGAAGTGATTGCATTAACCTTGGGTTTTAGTTTCTGGGTTATGTGATGTTTTGGCATCTTAAGAGGTTTGCTGGCTGGGGAGAGATTGACCCTCCCAGAACTGGCTTTCAAGATAGCAAAAGGCTCAGCCAATCTCCAGACCAACTTTTCCTGAGGCCCCTTACTCAGCCCCCACACAGCAGGCAGAATTTCCCCCACCCTGGAGCCCCCTGGAGCCGAGGACCAGCTAGAAACCACTGCTACAGCCCAAGTCCAGCAGAATCATTCCAAGGAATCCACTGTGCATTTCCCACCGGCCCCCTCCCACACCCAGGAGGCTCTGGCTTGGACTTTCCCACTAGTTACTGACTCTGCCACTTGACCCTAACCCGGACAGACACATTCTGGGACCCGTGAGCCTAAGAAACTTCTTCCTTGCAAGCCTGTTGTCACTTCCTCCTGCGGTGCTGACTGTGTCACACACCTGGCCTCCTGCCACCCTGGGACAGCGGGTGATGAGCTAATGCAGTCCCCGCTCTTCACACCTGGTGGACTTCTGGGGAAACCTGTTGTAAAACAGCAATGGGGAGACAGGCCACGTACTTTCTCAGGGCGCTCCGTCCCTGGCGATGCTCCTCCAGTTCTCGGTAGCAAGTCTGTTTGCTAATTTCCTTTTCCCAGAAGCTCTTGAGCTCTCTGCAGGTTTCACAGCAGAAGACTTCCCGGCGCACGTATTGATTGTTCATCCCTGAAGCAGAAGCGCAAAGTCAACCCAGCCCTTTCAATAACGCCACTTTAATTTTGGATGAGCCTGAAGTCGGCGGCTGCCGGTTACGCTTTTTTTTTGCCTGTACCGGTAGACACATCACACGCTCAGACTGTGAATCTATTTTCTCAGCTGCAAATGAGGATAATAACAGTCACATCGGAAAATGCTGGGAATTTTTTTTTTTTTTTGAAATGAGCAATGTCTGGTAACCCTGCCAGACGCCCTGATTCTATAAGGGCCCACCCCTTCCAGAGCCTTGGAGCAATGTTGCAATTCTGTGAACTATAGAAAAATTATAGTAATGTAAACGATCCTTTGAACACAGAAATTCAAATAAACTTTGTCCAGTGGGATGCAAGTGATTCACCTATGGATATCAATCAATATTTCATCCACTTGTAAATTCATTTGAGTATTGTCTGTGTGTGTGTGTGTGTGTGTTGTAAAAAATTTCCTTTGAATATCAATTGTAATATCTTACTAGTTTTCTCATTATTTGTAAGTAAAATAAAATCTTTGGCATGTATTCATTCTATACTTGGGCGAGAGTCATGATTTAAACTTTATTAAAATATCCTTCAATATTTATTTGGTTGTGTGTGTGTGTGTGTTTGTGTGTGTGTGCATGTACATGTGTATAAAATGAGTAGATAATCAAAAACTCTGGCCAGCAGTAGTGACTCAAGAGGCTGAGGCAAGAGGATAGCAAGTTCAAGGCCAGTCTCAGCAACTTAGCAAGACCCTAAGCAATTCAGCAAGACCCTGTCTCAAAATAAAAAATAAAAAAGGGCTGGGGATGTAACTCAGTGGTAGAGCACCCTGGGTTCAATTCCCAATTATAAAAGCAAAAACAAACAGAAAACCCGAACACAAAGTCGAACAAATAGTAGGCAGTCAGTAAATGTTATATTATTTTAAAAAATTATTTTTAGTTGTAGATGGACACAGTATCTTATTTATTTATTTGTTTGTTTATTTATTTATTTTTGTGTGGTGCTGAGGATCAAACCCAGGTCTCATACCTGCGAGACAAATGCTCTACCACTGAGCTACAGGCCCAGYCAAATTTTATATTTTTTCCCATTCTTCCTCACACGATGACAATGGCCCCTACCATTTATTGAGTATTTACAAGTATGTTTGTTTATGTGTGACAGGCATCCTACACACACTGTTCCTTTGATCCTCACTGCCACCTSTTGAAATGGGGGACTCTCCACTCATTGTTCAGATGAGGAAACTGAGAGAGACTTGCCTGTGACCTCATCACTGAAAGTGGATGTGCTGGGTGGACTTTGCACCTAGGTCTGCTCATCTACATGGAGGATGCTCTTTGCCCTTCTGATCCTCAGCACAAGGAATGGCTACTGCTTTTGCAAATGGCTACGTCCTCAGCAAACTTGCTGAGCATCTCACCAGAATGCACGTGTTACCTACTTCAAGGTGTTCACTTGGTACCTGAAAGTTGCCAGTTTTCTGGATCTTAGTGGCTTAGCTGGTCAGAGCTGCCCAGGAGCACGTGGATGGGTGTGGTGACCTGGGACTGCCTGGATGAGGGAAAGAGACCAGGGGAGCCAGAGAGTGCACTTCCCAGGTGCCCATCACCGGGGCAGCTCTCTGGGTAATTCCCACTTGTAACACAGCCATTCTCCATTTCCCCCACTTTTTCCCCCATTCCCTGAAATTTTTGCTTTCTTTTTTAAAAAAATAGGCATTCAATCTTTCAGAAGTTTTTCCTAATTGGTGCATTATAATTATACATGGCAGTGCAATTCATTACACCGTATTTGTATTGCACATATCACAATTTGATCTTTTTAAAATTTTATTTAAAAGGTAAAAACCATTTTTTTTTGGTACTGGGGATTGAACCCAGGGATGCTTAACTACTAAGCCACATCACAAGCCCTTTTTACATTTTTAATTTAGAGATAGGGGCTTGCTAAGTTGTTTAGGTCCACTCTAAATTGCCTAGGCTGACTTTGAACTTTCGGTCCTCTGGCCTCAGCCTCCTGAGGGATTACAGCTGTGTGCCTCCACCCCCGCCCCCAAACTATTTTTAATTGACCAGTAAAATTGTATGTACTTACCTTGTACAACATGATATTTTGAAATCTATCTACCTTGTGGGATGGCAAAAACAAATGAACTAATGTCTCACTTTGCACAAGAAGAAGCTGATTTTCAGAGGCAATTAATGCCTCTGCCGAGGTCACTGGTCAAAAGAGTGGGGCACTGGTCAAAAGGCAGAGCCAGCCCCCAGCATACGGAGATGTCCCCGGAGAGAGGAGGCTTGGCTCTGCTGCCCTCTCTCAAGCGCTCAGAGGTCTTTCCTGGGACTGACCGACGAGGAGGTGTTTGTGACTTAGTGAGGTCGAGTTTCTTGGAGAAGCTTATTTCAATGTATTCTGTGTTAAATGCCTTGAAGCATTTGATAGGGCTTCAGTATTCCTAACCAACTTAAAGGATCCCTTTCTAAATTATTATTTTCAAAAAAGAYGGGCCTGGGATGGTGATGGCCCCTTTGGAGGCATCTCAGCGACTGAGGGGAGGTCAGAGAGGGGACGGGGTTCTGTACTTCCTGGGAAGCAGAAGAGCCCAATTCCAGGGCCTTGTGTGTCTTTCTAGGCAGGGGCTGTGCCCCGGGACCTCTCTGAACTCCAGCTGTCTCCAGCCTGACCAAGACATCCTCCTGTCCTCCAGGGCCACATCTATCACTTGTCTTCTTTCCTAGGCTAAAGGATTCGGTGCAAAGAACTCTAATAAATTCCTCCTTACTGGACATCAGAAGGAAAGCTATTAGTGAAAATAAATCGGATTTCATATTTTCACAGAACTGGGGTGTTCATTGCTTGCCCTTCTGCAGCAGCTAGATCTCCTTGTGCGTTCGGCTGGAGCTCCAGGAGGAACTAATCTCCTCATTTTATGGCGTTTCAAATGACAGAAAAGAAAATAGTGCTTGCTTTGAACCGAGAGGAGATTGTTAGATGCACAACTTGCCCTTTAAGTAGGCAAAAATAACACCCCTCTCGTGCATGATGAAAATGCTCCTAAAAATCTCAAGTTCAGATTAAGTATCTGGCATTCCCAGAAAAGATGGTTTGGCCCAATAAGTCCTCATGGAAATGTCTTCCTTTTCTCAGCATTTAACATTTTAAACTGAAGAGAGTCATGGAGGAGGATGAGAGGCCCTGGCAGGAGCGCAGGCCACAAGTGCATGTGACTGTGTCCTCAGGTCTGCTCTGTTGGCGGAAGGTGGGGCTGGGCGAATGGAGAGGATCTATCCCAGCAGGCCCTGCCGGTGCAGCATCACKAGCCGAGGCAGAGTGCAGTCCACACAAACCCAGGGAGTAAATGGGATCGGAAGGAACCCAAAGGAGGCCAGGCCGAGGGCTCTGAGGGATGGGCAGTGTGCTGGGCTGGCTGGTTCTCTTTTGGGCAATAGGCAGCTGGGGAAGGGGCTGGGGGCTGTGTTTCCTGAGGAGCTGGGTGCAGTGGCTGTGACCTTGGGAGGACATAGGGAGGAGTCCTGAACTCACATGCCCTCAGGGGCCAGGCCAACCAAGCCACTGGGCCTGAGCCACAGGGAGCCTCAGTGCACTGTGGTTTTCACAGGAGCCTGACATGGTGCCGGCCAGAGAGAAGATGGCTTTTCCCTGATGCAGGCTGAGGGCTGCCTGCCTGCCTGCTCCCCTTCGGGGTGCATTCTTTAACTTCAGCTTTGGCCTTGAGACTTTCTGGAAACCTCCTCCTTCTGCGTTCTCTGCGGGGATCCCTGAACTACTCTGCTTTGCTTTGCAGCCTTCCTACCTCATTCCAGCAGCTTCTTTCCTCCTCTGCACCTGAGCAGACTGAGGAAGTCCCAAGGACTTGGCCAGACCCACTGTTGGAAGTGGGACTCTTCCCTCCCCCAACCCCCGTCACCTGGCCTATGGGGGGACATGCAGGCACAGCTGTCCTCCCTGCCCTCCTGCCCYACTCCTAGACCTGCAGGCTGCACCCTGGCAGCCAGATTGGTGAGGCAGCTGAGGAGGAGGGCGGCGGACTTTGTCACTTCTGTGGCATTGAGTAACAAGTCCTTTGCTCACTCTGGGCCTCAGTTTTATTATCTATGAAATGGAGATTAAGAGTGATAACCTGGAGGAAAGTGGCTCAGACATGACCTGCCCAAAGGCTGTGTGCTTGTCCCCAGGGAGCTCAGGGTCTGTTGCCTGGCCCCTGGCAAGCACTGACAATGCTGACTTGGACCACCACCTAATGTCCTCTCCCTGTCTTCAGTTTATACACCATGTCAAACGCCTCGCTTCTGACTGACTCAGCCCATATTTAAGGTTTATTTATCTCTGTTGCTGGGCTGTCAGAATTAGAGAGCCTGAGGTCATGGGTCTAAGAGCTTTCCCAAATTGTCCAAGGTCCAGCGCTGGATAGCAGACAGAGACGCCTTTAGCAAAGCTCTTGGTGGTGAGACTCGCCCCTGTACCACTTAGGACGTTGTTCCTGGGCTCTTCGTGGTGAGGCCCTGTGGTCACAGTCACCGAGGGAGGCTGAACATTGAAGAAGCGACTGTATTGCTAAAATGCACAGTTGCCACTTTGTTAATGACCAGGCTCAATCCTCCGGTGATATTACAGCCCAGTTGCTGGTTTTGGTGGAAACTACTGGGAAACTTGAACTTCAACCTTCAGGATTATGACAAGTTCTACAAGAGGAAATACAATGTGATTCGGGCACACTGTGCTTTTCTCCCTCCCCTTTACATCTGTTGCTTGCCTTTATGAGCAGCATGGTGGTAGCTGGTATCTGCTGCTTTGGACCCTCAAGAAACAGAATTGATGGGAATTTTAGGAAAATATCAAAATAAGGTAGGAAAGAGGAATAAAGGGCATCCAGTTTTTTTCTGGGGGTATTGATGGAAAATCTGAGCTCTGAAAATTGCTTTCTCTGTACCAGAGCCTGATCCAGGCAGAGAAAATCAACTC